ATGATGCGATAAAAGGAGGCGTGTCTGATCTGCCATGACACTATAAAAGGAGGCGTGTCTGAGCTGCCATGACACTATAAAAGGAGGCATGTCTGATCTGCTATGATGCGATAAAAGGAGGCGTGTCTGATCTGCCATGACACTATAAAAGGAGGCGTGTCTGATCTGCCATGACACTATAAAAGGATGCGTGTCTGATCTGCCATGGCACTATAAAAGGAGGCGTGTCTGATCTGCGATGATGTGATAAAAGGAGGCGTGTCTGATCTGCGATGATGCGATAAAAGGAGGCGTGTCTGATCTGCCATGACACTATAAAAGGAGGCGTGTCTGAGCTCCCATGACACTATAAAAGGAGGCATGTCTGATCTGCTATGATGCGATAAAAGGAGGCGTGTCTGATCTGCCATGACACTATAAAAGGAGGCGTGTCTGATCCGCCATGGCACTGTAAAAGGAGGCGTGTCTGATCTGCCGTGACACTGTAAAAGGAGGCGTGTCTGATCTGCGATGATGCGATAAAAGGAGGCGTGTCTGATCTGCCATGACACTATAAAAGGAGGCGTGTCTGATCTGCCATGACACTATAAAAGGAGGCGTGTCTGATCTGCCGTGACACTGTAAAAGGAGGCGTGTCTGATCTGCCGTGACACTGTAAAAGGAGGCGTGTCTGATCTGCCATGACACTATAAAAGGAGGCGTGTCTGATCTGCCATGACACTATAAAAGGAGGCGTGTCTGATCTGCCATGACACTATAAAAGGAGGCGTGTCTGGTCCTCACAACCCTATCAAGCCCCATCATTGATCATTGATTTTCGAAGTTATATTTATAGTGACTGGCAGTGAGAAATCAAAAACAATTGGTGATGTGGTTCTGTCATGTACAACCAGTTATAGCTGATTTGTTTCAGTTGTTTTATATATTGTATATACGATCTTTGTTTTATAAATAGCCATTTTCACTGCTTTCCACTCACCTCATAGTTCTAGCCGACCTGTGACAATGAGACTGTCACAGGTCGGCTCAGTAGATCGGGAGGTGAGCAAACACATACCGGCGTTCGCTCACTTCTCGATCCTGTCACGGCTCTCTGCCGTGACAGGGGAGGGGCTGGATTCCCCCCTCCCCTCTCCCCCAGCGCTGACTGGTGGATCGGACGGGGGAGGGGGCGGGAACAGCTGGCTCTGCCTCTAGATAGGCAGAGCCAGCTGTCACTCACGCAGCTGGGCGGATCCCGGCACAATTGTCGGGATCCGTTTCAGCTGCAGCGTCTCAGTATACCGCGAGCTGTAGCTCCCTATATACTGAGCCTAGGGTGACGGGAGGACGCTAGTTTGTGTCCTCCCGTTACCCTGAGTACTATGGGGGAGAGCCCTGACCCCATTCTCCTTTTAATACATGACGAAGGGTTCTCAGAGCACTATGGATGATCCAGCACAGAAGATGCTGCCTGCTTTGCATCTTCTTTTGTCTGACTGAAACCTCCTATTGACAAGCGTAATACGGGAGGAGTCACTGCTGGTATGATGATGATGATGGAAGTCAGAAGTTTTCTTAATTCACTAACAGGGTTATTCACAGAAGGGTGAAGAGTTTGGAGAAGGGAACAATCTAGGACAACATCGCCGAGCTGGACAGTGAGCTGAGTGGGAGAATTTTTCTAAATCAGCGATGTTGTCCTAGATTGTTCCCTTCTCCAAACTCTTCACCCTTTTGTGAATAACCCTGTATATTAATTGATAAATTACTTTACAAAGATAACATGCTCGACACCTTTAGTAAATCAATCCCAAAGCTTCACGTGTGAGAAGCAAACAAGATATATATATTTAACATAAAACAATCCCATAAAAGCCATCAGATGCATTTATCTGAATATTTTGTCGTTACTGTATCAGGAAACCAATGTCTTAGGCTTTAAAGGACCACGAAAAATGAGTGTGATTATTCCGGGGATGAACATGGACCACGAAAGAGTTTCTATAAGACCCAGAAATGTGAGTTCTTATCTCCACCCGGTAATGTCTGATTTCTATACTTTGCAACACTGAAAATGATACACTTACAAAATCAATATTCCGTGTTTGCTGGATGCTGCATCACTGAGAGCTTACTCCACCTTCAACTACTCTGCCCTGAGTTCCCGGGTCTGTACACTCGCTGTGCCCATTATGAGGGGCCCCCCCCCATCCCTGTGCTGAGTTCCCGGGTCTGTACACCTGCTGTGCCCATTATGAGGGGCTCCCACCATCCCTGTGCTGAGTTCCCGGGTCTGTACACCTGCTGTGCCCATTATGAGGGGCTCCCACCATCCCTGTGCTGAGTTCCCGGGTCTGTACACCTGCTGTGCCCATTATGAGGGGCTCCCACCATCCCTGTGCTGAGTTCCCGGGTCTGTACACCTGCTGTGCCCATTATGAGGGGCTCCCACCATCCCTGTGCTGAGTTCCCGGGTCTGTACACCTGCTGTGCCCATTATGAGGGGCTCCCACCATCCCTGTGCTGAGTTCCCGGGTCTGTACACCTGCTGTGCCCATTATGAGGGGCTCCCACCATCCCTGTGCTGAGTTCCCGGGTCTGTACACCTGCTGTGCCCATTATGAGGGGCTCCCACCATCCCTGTGCTGAGTTCCCGGGTCTGTACACCTGCTGTGCCCATTATGAGGGGCTCCCACCATCCCTGTGCTGAGTTCCCGGGTCTGTACACCTGCTGTGCCCATTATGAGGGGCTCCCACCATCCCTGTGCTGAGTTCCCGGGTCTGTACACCTGCTGTGCCCATTATGAGGGGCTCCCACCATCCCTGTGCTGAGTTCCCGGGTCTGTACACCTGCTGTGCCCATTATGAGGGGCTCCCACCATCCCTGTGCTGAGTTCCCGGGTCTGTACACCTGCTGTGCCCATTATGAGGGGCTCCCACCATCCCTGTGCTGAGTTCCCGGGTCTGTACACCTGCTGTGCCCATTATGAGGGGCTCCCACCATCCCTGTGCTGAGTTCCCGGGTCTGTACACCTGCTGTGCCCATTATGAGGGGCTCCCACCATCCCTGTGCTGAGTTCCCGGGTCTGTACACCTGCTGTGCCCATTATGAGGGGCTCCCACCATCCCTGTGCTGAGTTCCCGGGTCTGTACACCTGCTGTGCCCATTATGAGGGGCTCCCACCATCCCTGTGCTGAGTTCCCGGGTCTGTACACCTGCTGTGCCCATTATGAGGGGCTCCCACCATCCCTGTGCTGAGTTCCCGGGTCTGTACACCTGCTGTGCCCATTATGAGGGGCTCCCACCATCCCTGTGCTGAGTTCCCGGGTCTGTACACCTGCTGTGCCCATTATGAGGGGCTCCCACCATCCCTGTGCTGAGTTCCTGGGTCTGTACACCCGCTGTGCCCATTATGAGGGGCTCTGGAAGACACTGTGTGGATCCATATTAGGTGATGACATGAGATTTGTGTCCTGAGATCTGGAGAGGGATTTGTGCCGCTCATTCATCGTTCTCTTTCCTGTAGGAACACGAGACCCTTCTCTCCCGATGGCAGAACAAGAGCACGGAGAGCGTCATCGAACTGCACAACAAAACGCCCGTCTGGAACGATGACACCCAGTCCTACGTCCTGAACTTCCACGGGCGCGTCACGCAGGCTTCCGTGAAGAATTTCCAAATTATACATGACAACGACCGTAAGTGTCCACAGCCATCACAATCTCCCCGGGCGGAATGTTTATTGTATTTCCTTCATTCTAAATGACAGGGGCGATCTTCAGACTTTCTTTGGATTAAAGTGTACCTGTCATTAAAATGTCTGTGAAGGTTCTCATGTATCCCAGTCAGGGGGTATATCTAGTAGGAGTTGGTCACATTCAGCAGGTCTTGTTCTGTTACATGGAGGATGTTTCCTAGATTCTCCATTCTACTTAATTTCTAATGAGATTCAGGAACATTTCCCAATATTTATACTCCACTATCAGGGCAGGATTTACTCTCTCTGCTGCCCCAAAGGCCAGGTTCCTCAACGCCCCCCCCTCCCAACCAAAGCCCCTCCAATGGAGAATGGCAACCAGATGGCGGGGGCGGCAGGATTGTTTTTTATTTAGGTTTTTGGCCTCCAAAAGAGAGACAATTCCTCCAAAAGGGGGTCAGTTGCTCCAAAATAAAGACTATTCCTCCAAAAGAGGGACAGCGCCTCCAAATGAGAGACTATTCCTCCAAATGAGAGAGAGTCCCTTCAAATGAGAGACAGTTCCTCCAAAAGAGAGACTATTCATCCAAAAGAGGGACAGTTCCTCCAAAAGGGGGAAAGTGCCTCCAAAAGATGGACAGTGCCTCCAAAAGAGAGACAGTGCCTCCATAAGAGAGACAGTTCCTCCAAAAGAGAGACTATTCCTCCAAAATGGGGGCAGTGCCTCCAAAAGAAGGACAGTGCCTCCATAAGAGAGACAGTGCCTCCATAAGAGAGACAGTTCCTCCAAAAGAGGGATAGTTCCTCCAAAAGAGAGACCGTTCCTCCAAAAGAGAGACCGTTCCTCCAAAAGGGGGACAGTTCCTCCAAAAGGGGGACAGTGCCTCCAAATGAGAGACAGTTCCTCCAAAAGAGAGACAGTTCCTCCAAAAGAGGGATAGTTCCTCCAAAAGAGAGACCGTTCCTCCAAAAGAGAGACCGTTCCTCCAAAAGGGGGACAGTTCCTCCAAAAGGGGGACAGTGCCTCCAAATGAGAGACAGTTCCTCCAAAAGAGAGACAGTTCCTCCAAAAGAGAGACCGTTCCTCCAAAAGGGGCACAGTGCCCCCAAAAGAAGGACAGTGCCTCCATAAGAGAGACAGTGCCTCCATAAGAGAGACAGTTTCTCCAAAAGGGGGTCAGTTCCTCCAAAAGAGGGACAGTTCCTCCAAAAGAGAGACCGTTCCTTCAAAAGGGGGACAGTTCCTTTGGAGAATGGCAGACCTGCAGGCTGCATATAATGTCGCCGAGGTCACTTGTACAGAACAAGCGGCGGCTTCCTCGCTGTACATTTAGCTCTAGTTGCCCAACGCCGGGCTAAATGTAGAAAACAACTACCCGCCCGGGCATCGGGAGATATCAGTTCCACACCCCTGCTGCCCCTCTACTCCCTGCTGCCCCATGGCCTGGCCTTGGTTGGCCTTGTGGGAAATCCGGCCCTGTCCACTATCCTAGGAACATACCCCACTATACCAGGAGCATAGCCCAGCATTTGTATGTACACAGGTACCACAGACACCTTCATCCAATCATCATTGAATGTGTCCAGTTAGATGTTGACTGTCTAAGTACAGGACGGGAGGTGTTAAAGTTATGGAACCCCCTGTTCTGGTTCCATAATCCCATCATGTCTGCATAGGTGTTAATCATTTGAGTCGCATGGCTAAATGGTGTGAATCGCCAGGGTAGAGATGCTAAAATGGCATTATAAGTGGAAAACAGATGGTGTTGAAGGTCTCCACTGCTGTCCAGACTGACACAGATGGTTTCTTTCACACCTCTTGTGAACCCAATTGTCCCCTCTGTCCAAAATGTGCCCCTCATTGTCCTGCAGAGAATGTCCCTTTTGCTTAAAGGAGAACTATGAGGGGGGGGGGGGGGGGGGGGCTTTTCACTCACCTCATAGTTCTAGCCGACCTGTGACAATGAGACTGTCACAGG